ACATGATGTCAGAAATAGGGATGTCAACGATTAATCGATGATCGATTAATTGTCGTTGAGAGATGCAATCGATTAAAGCTATCATGGTCGATTAAGTCGTTTAATTTTGGGCTGCATGCGGCTCATACGCAAAACACGTGCGGGCGGCTGTGAGTGACGGTTACGGTATATAAATGCATCATCATTTCCTGTTATGCACTCTTTTCTTTTCTTCCTCCATCTTCCTGTCACTCTTTGCTGTGTCCCTTCTTTTCCAGTCTTGCTGTCTCTCCTGGTGACTTTAAGCTGCTGAATGCAGGATGCTCTGCACAATCTATAGGCCTCAGGGATACAGCAGAGAAGAGAGAAAGACAGAGAGAGAGAGACAGGGCACTCAGTCAGTGTCTGCAGATGAACATGGTGCCCAGAGCGAGACAAACAGGAAGCTCATTGAGCATCTCGAACCCTGACAGCACAATCAGCCTTACACTGCAGCCATACACACACACATGTATCATATGCTGCTTTCTTTTTTTATTTGAAGTCCACTCCATGTGAGGACACACACATAGTGTGCATTTACTTAGCTATCTAAACCTTACCCTACCCGTAAACTTCATTTATAATGATTTATGAATCTTTTTCCAAATGAAGATTCCCAAAGCAAGCTCACTATAGAAATTTTTCAGTTTTAAATAAAACAAAGATTATTGGAGTTTGCTAAATTTGACATTTAATTCAATGTATTGCTGTTTCTTTGTAATTATTTGTGAAAATTTGTGAAAATTCAGGTTTAGCTTGATTTGAAGCAAAGAACAAATTTGTATTGAAAATGTATCTCACACAAACACACACTTTACCTACTTATCTAAATGAGGACAAATTATATACATCCGTTATTTCTAATTATGAAATTATAAAAACTAATTATGAACACTACAGTTGCACTTAAACCATAAAACTCTAAAATAAAGCTTTTTTTGCATTTGCAGTTACTTAAATTAAACCTCTAAATGAGGAAATATCATAGACTTCCATAATTACTATACACTAATCTAAAACTTAATGTATATATGTATGTATATATGTATATATATATACTGCATATATATATATATTTAAAATATTTAAATATAAAATTGTTACTAGGGCTGTGACGGTGGCATTACCACTGCAGTACCAACTTTTAACAAGTTACCAAAAATAAACCATTTTTACTTTTATTTCAGAGTTCATTCAAGAAAAAGAGGAGCATGAACATTATATATATATATATACTGCATATATATATATATTTAAAATATTTAAATATAAAATTGTTACTAGGGCTGTGACGGTGGCATTACCACTGCAGTACCAACTTTTAACAAGTTACCAAAAATAAACCATTTTTACTTTTATTTCAGAGTTAAATGAAGAAAATTAGGAGAATGAAGAATCAAGTGAAGTTGAGGAGAAAAATCATGTCAAAACTGGAGGAAAACCTTTGAGTTGCTCTCAAACCAAGCAGAAAGATTTAAAGAAAAGAAGAGCCAAGAAATCTTTCACCTGCACTCAGTGTGGAAAGAGATGCACACACAAAGCAAGTTTTGAGTGTCACATGAGAGTTCATACTGGAGAGAAACCGTTCACTTGTGATCAGTGTGGGAAGAGTTTCACACAATCATCAAACCTTAAGAGCCACATGAACATCCACACTGGAGAGAAACCACACGCATGTGATCAATGCGGTAAAATGTTTTTATTGGCTTCACTTCTGAAGAAACACTTGAAAGTTCATGCAAAGGAGAAGCCACATTCATGTCATTTGTGTGGTAAGAGTTTTTCGCGTCTAGACAGTTTGAAAGAACATCAGAAAATACATACTGGTGTGAGAGAGTACATGTGCTTTGAGTGTGAAAAGACTTTTACTTCAGCTAAACAGTTGAAAACACATGAGAGGATTCACACTGGAGAAAAACCTTATAAGTGTTCACACTGTGACAAGCGATTCATTAATTCATCAAATCAGAAAACACATGAGAGGATCCACACCGGAGAGAAACCTTATAAGTGTTCACACTGTGACAGGAGATTCCGTGATTCAGCAGCTCTGAAAACACACGAGAGGATCCATACTGGAGAGAAACCTTATAAGTGTTCACACTGCAACAAGGGATTCAGTCAGTCAGCAAATCTGAAAACACATGAGAGGGTCCACACTGGAGAGAAACCTTATAAGTGTTCACACTGCAATAAGAGATTCAGTCAGTCAGTAAATCTGAAAACACATGAGAGGGTCCACACTGGAGAGTAACCATATCACTGCATTGCATGTGGGAAGCGTTTCATTCAGTCATCTGTTATACACAGTCATACAAAAAACAATCACAGTAAGGCCCCATACACACAGAGACGCGGTTAGCTGTATATGTAAATATTTTGTATCGTATCAGCGTTTCGTCCAGATGGATCCGGCGTTTTGGGAGCCTCAAACTGCAATTTTTTTTTAATCGGGTCCCAGAGTGGATAAATCTGAAAATGACACATTTGCGTGTGTATAGCCAATCCGTATATTTTGTGAAACAATAATGTCATCACCCCACGTCTTCACCCCAGTCAGACACCGCTACCTCATGTAACAACAACAATGGCGGACTACATGTTTGTGTTCATGCTGCAGAAGCTATTGAGCCTATTAGTTTTATTAAACTTACTAGTAGAGCTGCACGATATTGGAAAAAACTCACATTGTACTTTTTTTTCTGCAATATATATTGCGATATAAAAAAAAAAAGTACCAGATGACTTGAAGTGCTCTATTTGAAAAAAAAAAATAAATTCAATGATTGGGGTGATTTTGTACGTGAATAATCAGCAGAGAAAATAAGCAAATTACAAGCATAGATAAATATAATAGAAAAAATTATACAAATGAAATAAACAGTGCTTTATATTCTTCAGGTAAGTCTAACTGTTTTCAGGTACAGAAATTGAATAATCAAATGTAAAATATCACTGCGTAGTCTTCACTGTATAAATTAAATCTAATAAATCTGTTAAAGCTACAAAAGTGATTTTTCTTTGTGTTTTGTTGTTTGATTAACATTCATGACACAGAAAGCCTCGGGAACAACAGATGTAACAATCAAAAACAGATGTAATACGGATTAAGTAAGTAAAGTTTATTTGTATAGCACATTTATCTCAGCAAAGCTGGCCAAAGTGCTAAACAGAAACAAAGTAAAACATAAGACAAGCAAGACAAACCATAAAACAGGTAAAATCAATTAGAATGCCTGGGAGTAAAAATATGTTTTCAACATTGATTTAAAAGTTACAATAGAAGGTGCAAGGCAGATGTCCAGTGGCAGTTGATTCCAAAGACGAGGGGCGGCAACTGAAAAAGCCCTATCACCCTTTGTTTTTAAACGTGAACGAGGGACAAATAAAAAAGCACTGTCAGAAGATCTTAAATATCTGGAGGATAAAAGAGGAGTAAGAAGATCTGTGAGATAAGATGGGGCTTGACCATTAAGAGCTAAACAAACAGCATAATTTTAAATTGAATTCTAAAATGGACAGGGAGCCAATGTATTGAGGCCAAAATTGGTGTAACATGATCAGTTTTCTTTGCCCTGGTCAACAGCCTTGCAGCAGCATTTTGTACCATCTGTAAGCGTGCAATGGATGACTGAGGGAGACCCAAATACAATGAGTTACAATAATCAAGGTGAGAAGTAATAAAAGCATGAATGACCTTCTCCAAGTCATGAAAAGACAAAAATGATTTCAGTCTCAAGATGATCCGTAATTGATAAAAACTGTTCTTAACAACTGAATTTATTTGCTTAGTCAAGCAAAGTTCAAAGTCTAAAGCCCGGGATACACTGCACGATTTTTGGCTGTCCCAGACAAAAGATTGCTATCGTGAAGCAATCGTGGTGATTTCTGTGATCGTGGCTCTTAATCGGTGGTCCTATGTCGTACAGTGAGAGAGGTTCAAAGACGGCCGTTGTCACGGTCTTGCGACCAAAGATAGCCTACGATAATTTTCTGACAGTGTCAGAAATTCAGCATGATCATCGCACAGTATGTTTGCTGCTATGACCCACGTCTACTGACCAACCAATAAAACTGCGACATTAAATCAATGCGCCACGGCGCTAAAATATAAAACTGCTTACCTCAAGCTCTTATCCCTTCCTCTTTCGCCGTTTCACTTTTTTTCAACACACATAAAAACTACAACTGCCAAAGTGTGATTCATCATGCTCCACTTTACCACTAGCGCATGCTGATGACGTTTCTTCTATAGTAACGTACGTCATAGCCTACGAGTCAATAGGTGTTATCATCGTGCAGTCTGCATACATGTCGTACCCAAGTTTATCAGATCCATGTCGCACAGTGTGATTTGCAATGATCTTATAGGATTGCTAAAATCGTGCAGTGTGTAGAAGGCTTAAAATTACACCAAGACTCCTGACCTGTGAAGAGACTGAGGAGAAATGATTGCCAAGCTCCTTTATAACAACACTTCTCAACTTTGGGGGGCCAAAGACGATTATTTCTGTTTTATCTTCATTAAGTCGAAGAAAACTACTGGATAACCATTTCTTAATGTCCACAAGGCAGGCCAATAAGGGTTCAATGGAATAGCCAGCTTTCAATGGAAGGTACAGCTGAGTATCATCAGCATATAAGTGAAATGAAACGTTATGCCTCCTAATAATATCTCCCAAAGGTCGCATATATAAATTAAAAAGAAGTGGACCTAAGATAGATCCTTGAGGTACTCCACAGATAATAGGAGCAATAGATGAAGAGAACTTACCTAGCTCAACACAAAAAGACCTGTCTCTAAGATATGAACTGAACCATTTTAAAGCAGTACCCCCGATACCAATCAAATGCTCTAACCGCCAAAGAAGAACATTATGATCTGTATCGAAGGCGGCTGTAAGATCGAGAAGCAACAGAACTGTATTTTTACCGCCATCAACTGCAAGTAAAATGTCGTTAAACACCTTAAACAAGGCACACTCAGTACTATGATGGGCAGAGAAACCAGATTGGAGAGGTGCTGTTAACTTAGCTACATTCAAAAATGAGATCAATTGTGAGTATACAACTTTTTCTAAAAGTTTTGATAAAAACGAAAGCTTGGAGACAAGGCCGATAATTAAGGCAAACTTCATCCATACCCTGTTTCTTAAGTAAAGGTTGAACAACAGCATGCTTAAAACATTTTGGGACTACCCCAGTAGCAAGAGATGGATTAATCAATAGGGCCTTTTGCACCGCCGGAACCTTTTCATAGTACCAGAACTAATTGTGGAACTACCCACTTTTTGGTGTTTTCGCACCGCCGGAACTGGGTGCGATTTTAGTACCGGACTGCCTTTTTCGAGAACCAAATTAGCTCCTACTCCGGAGCAGGGTCTAACCAGCACAACTGGTACTAATCGTGACGTAAGTAGACATTGATTGGCCAAACGCATATGAAAACGCCCTCACCCGCCATGATTTAAAACGCTGTGTAAACATACTGTAAACATGTCAACTTATTTCGCAAGTATGGAGGACAGCGATAGATGGACGGACGCTGAAGTGCAGGCACTTGTAGCAAATGTAGCACTACCAGTTGTCGTTGGAGAATCTTAGTCCTCCTTTCCATTCTTTCAATCGCTTTACGTATACGTCGACTTTCCATGTCCATTATTGTGAAACCCGCGAGACACAACAAAAACACAGCTCTGATCACAGCGTCCTCCATCCTCCTGTTGTTAATGTTGTTGTTCTTTGTTTCTGTTGTTGAACGCCACGCTCAAATGACGACGCTGTCGACTGGCTTACGTCACTTCTTAGTACACACTGTCGGTGCGAATGCAACCCTTTAAATGGTACTGGGAAATAGTTCGCGCAAAATCGTCCCAGTACTTTAGTACTGTACATTTAGTTCTGGAACTAAAGCGATGCGAAAGGCGCTAATGACTGAATGGCAGTACCAATTTCAGAAAAAGAAGCCTTAATAATCTCTGCAGGAATTACATCAAGAGAAGAGGCAGTTGTCTTAATCTTATTGACCAAATCACTGAGCTCCTTTAGAGAAACGTTTTGAAAACAAGAAAAGGAAGCTGGACTAGCCAGCGAAAACAGTGACAGATCTGATAGCTAGCAAGGTAAAAGTGAATAGCTAACACTTTGTCAGAAAAAAAAAAACGTAAATTTTTTTTCACAAAGTTCAGTTGAGGGTTCCACATGAAACTGACAACCTGGAATAATTGAGTTAATTGTGGAAAACAAAATCCTAGGTCTATGAGAGTGCATATTAATCAAATCTGAAAAATACGTTGACCTAGCTGATTTTGCAGCATTCTGAAAGTTAGTCAAGCACTCTTTAAAAAGTCTCGGACGGCCACCAGCACAATACCACAGTAACCAGTTGAGTCCTCTGCACAATGTGACTTTGCTGCAGCCTGGAACTGAACTGCTGGTTTCGTCTGGCCAAAGGAGAACTGCCTCCCAGACTGAGCCTGGTTTCTCCCAAGATTTTTTCTCCATTCTGTCACCGATGGAGTTTTGGTTCCTTGCCGCTGTCGCCTCTGGCTTGCTTAGTTGGGGACTCTTCATTTCCAGCGATATCGTTGACTTGATTGCACAGATACTATTTAAACTGAACTGAGCTGGATGATGTCATCACTGAATTCAATGATGAACTGCCTTTAGCTGAAAAATGAGTGTTTACTGTTGTCAATTTTGCATTATTGACACACTATTTTCCTAATTAATGCTGTACAGTTGCTTTGACACAATCTGTATTGTTAAAAGTGCTATATAAATAAAGGTGACTTGACTTGACTTGCTGTGAACCAATATACTATCCATTTACTTTCTCAATTGTTTACTGCAGGGGTCGGCAATAAGTTTGGCATCGGGCCAAAAAAAAATTTCGCTACTAGATGGCGGGCCAGAACATAGTCAAAGGATAATTTAAGAAATTTATTGATGAAAAATGCAACTGGAATTGCTTGTGACAGACTGTTACAGTGTCTTTTGTAACTGGTAGTGAGCTGTTACTCTGTGTTAAATCCTGTAGGAGGACAGTCATTAACAAAAAGCCACATTTGTGTGGCAGTGTCCGGCAGAAAATGTGAGCGGAGTGGAGCATCAACAATTTCCCCTCTGCTCTCCAAGCGTTTAATAATCACTCCACTCCAGCTCTGCTCTGGGTTTACCATTTCCCGCTCCCACTCCACTCCTCGCTCACTGATCTCAGAAACACCGCTCTGCCTTCGATCCATGTCTACAGTATTTCAGTATGTTTGAAATAGCACAGTTCTGATCATAACATATAATATAAAATAAATAAGATAACAGGAGAGTTTCAAAGTGGCTTATTGGAACACTAGTGTGCAAACTTTTTTCCTACCACATGACAAGCTAATAACATGGTTGTCAGCATTAAAA